TAATAAAAGTAAAGGCTGAATCATATTCTATCACTATGTATGTATGTAAAACATATACTGCATTTTCTTTATTCCTCCTTCTATGACATTTAGGTTGTCTCTATATTCTGGTTATTCTTAATGTTCCAGTGAACATGGGGGTGCAGATATTTAGAGAGAGGAAAGGAGAGAGAAACATCAATGTGAGAAACATCGATTGGCTGCCTGCTTCACACTCTTACTGGGGATCAGGCCCACAACCCGGGCATGTGCCCTTGACTGGAATAAAACTGGCAACCTCCTGGTTCACAGGGCAACACCCAACCAACTCAGCCACGCCAGCTAAAGCTCTGTTTCACATTTTTTGAGGACCTTCCAGTTTTCCACAGTGGTTGTACCTCTGTATGATTTCTATACTGAATGTGTCCTTTTTCTAGTATTTATTATTATTTTTTTAATCCTCACCTGAGAATGTTTCTTTTTTTCTTTATTCATTTTTAGAGAGAGAGGAAGGGAGAGGGTGAGAGAGATAGAAACATTGATGAGAACATGGATTGGCTGCCTCCTGCATGTCCCCTACTGGGGATTGGGCTCACAACCTGGGCATGTGCCCTGACTGGGAATCGAACCGGTGACCTCTTGGTGCATGGGTTGATGCTCAACCACTGAGCCACACTGGCTGGGCAATGTTTCTTTTTTTAATTTGAGAGAGAGAGGAAGCAGGGAAAGAGAGAAAGAGAAACATAGATGTGAAAGAGAAACGATTGGTTGCCTCCCATATGCACCCCAACTAGGGATTGAACCTGCAATTTATGTATATTCCCTGACTGAGAATCAAACCTATAACCTTTTGGTGTACAGGACGATGATCCAACCAACTGAGCCATTCAGCCAGGGCTCTAGTGTTTATCTTTATTATTATTTTTTAAAATACCCAAGGATATTTTTCCATTTATCTTCAGATAGAGTTGGGGGTGGGGAGGCATTGATCCCTGACCAGGGCCAGGGACCGAGCTGCAGCCGATGTGCGTGCCTCTGACCGGAATTGAACCTACGACTCTGGTCTGCAGGCCAATACTCTAACCGTTTCCAATCTATTCATGGACTATACAGTTTCCCCTCATTTCTGCTTTAGCAAGATCCTCAAATTAAGTGTTTCTTGATTTCTAAATATTAGGGGATTTTTGTTGTTCTGTTCCTATGATTAATTTCCAGTTTGGTTTCACTGTAGTCAGAAAACATAAGATAAATAAATGGCTCATGTTTAGAATTGCATTATGATAACAGAACATGACTTTTTTGGCCCATGTTTCCTGTGCACTTGAAAGCCATGTGTGTTCTGCCATTGTTGGGTGTAGTGTTCTCTGTGTCGATTAGGTCATATCTGTCATTCATGTTCAGTTCTTGAAGACCCTTCCTGATTTCTTTTGTCTGCTTGTTCTGTTACTTAGAAATGTTCATCTCCAACTATCATTATGGATTTGCCTAGTGCTCATTTTTGTTCTGTCAGCTCTTAATTTAAGTATTTTGGACCTATGCTGTGGTACATAAATATTTATGACTGTTATATCTTCCTGTCGAATTGACTTTTTTTTTAAAACCACAACATTTAGTGTACAACTAATCACTGAAATCCTTAAGATGAACTGGATGCTGCAACAGCCGCCCTGTTGGCTTTAGGTGTTGTTCCCTCACGGAATCCATGCCTGAACCCGCGGTATACCATTTTTAGGTGCCTCATGCAACCAGTTCCAGTGGTGTTTCTTGGTTTAGCTTTGGTGCTCCAGTTATACTTCCTCTTCCGCTTGGCGGGGTAGCTGCACTTGCCGCAGGTGGACTCCTGAAGGTGGTAGGCCTTCGAGCCACAGCGGCGGCACAGCGTGTGCGTCTTGTTGCGGCGCTTGCCGAACGATGACGTCCCCTTCGTCATCTCGCTTCTGCCGCCGAGACCAAGGAGGCCAGAAAAGAAAACACTTCCACTATATTGCTCTGAGAAGCTTCTGCTCAGGGGAGTACTTCTGTCGAATTGACTTTTTTTTTTTTCATCCTCACCTGAGGACATTTTTCCATTTTCTGTTCAGATGGAGTGGGAGGGAGAGAGAGGAAGAGAGAGAGAGAGAAACATCGACGTGAAGGGACACATCGAGTGGCTGCCACCCGCACGACCAACCAGGGCCGGGGACAAACTGCAACCGAGGTACGTGCCCTTAGCGGGAACTGAACCCAGGTCTCTCTGTACCTCAGGCCGAGGCTCTAACCGCTGAGCCAAACTGGCCAGGCCTCGAATTGACTTTTATTGTTGTGATACATCCTTAACTTTTACTAACACTTACTGCCTTAAAGTCACCCCGACTTTCCTTTGGTTAGTATTTGTATAGTGTACTTTTTTTTCATCTTTTATCTTCAGTCTTTCTGTATCTTTATAACTAAAGTGAGACTTGTCATTAGCAAATATTTTGGTTTTGATTTTGTATCATCTGAGAATCTTTATCTTTTAATTGAAGTAAGTTTACTTAATGTGATTACTGATAGAGTTGAGTTTTTTAATTCAATTTTTAAATTCCATCTGTCTTTTGTCTTTAATTTTTGAAGAGCATAGAATTCTAGTTTGGTAGTACATTGGTCCCCCCTTTTTTTTTTTTTAATCCTCATCCGAGGACATTTTTCCATTTTTTGTACAGACAGAGTGGGAGGGAGAGAGAGGAAGAGAGAGAGAGGGAAACATCGATGTGAAAGGGACACATCGAGTGGCTGCCACCTGCACGACCGACCAGGGCCGGGGACAAACTGCAACCGAGGTACATGCCCTTAGCGGGAACCGAACCCGGGTCTCTCCGGACCGCAGGCGGACACTCTAACCGCTGAGCCAAACCGGCCAGGGCATTGGTCCCCCTTTTTTCTGAGGTTTCAGTTACCTACATCATGGTCCAAAAATATTAAATGGAAAATTCCAGAAATAATTTATCAATTTTATTTATTTATCTTTTTAATTCTCACCTGAGAACATTTTCGCATTTATCTTGAGATAGAGCTGGAAGGAGAGAAGGTGGAAGAGAGAGAGAGAGAAACAGCAATGTGAGAGAGACACATCTAGTGGTTGCCACCTACACAACCCCTACGCAGACTGGGGACAAACTGGAACCAAGGTACATGCCCTTAATGGGAACCGAACCCAGGTCTGTCTGGTCCACGGGCCGACACTGTAACCGCTGAGCCAAACCGGCCAGGGTAATTCATCAATTTTAAATTGTGTGCCATTCTGAGTAGCATGATGAAATTTCACTGCCCGGTTCTGTCCCTGGGCAAGACCCATCCCTTGGTCCAGCATCTCCATACTGTGACACTCCCTGCCCATTAGTTACTTAGTAGTCTCCTCGATTATCACATTACACTGTCCCAGTATTATAGTGCTTATGTTCAAGTCGCCCTAATTTTTTTTGTTGTTGTTGCTAATTCTTAACCGAGGATATATTTCTATTGATTTTTAGAGAGTGGAAGGGAGGGAGGGAGAGACACATTGATTGGCTGCCTCAGGGTCCTTGACTGGGAATCAGACCCAAGATCTTTGGTCCTTAGGCAGATGCTCTAACTGCTAAGCCAAACTGGCCAGGGCAGGTCACCCTTATTTTACTCACCAGAGGACATTTTTACATTTCAGATAGAGCAGGAGGGAGGAAGAGAGACAGAGAGAAACATCAGTGTGAGAGAGAGACATTGAGTGGTCGCCACCCACACGACCCCAACCAGGTCCGGGACAAACTGCAACTGAGGTACGTGCCTGAAGAACCGAACCTGGGACTCTCTGGTCCCTGGGCCTACGCTCTAACTGCTCAGCCAAACCAGCCAGGGTGATACTATATAATTTTTAAAATCCCACTTTGTGTTACTGAGATTTGTACATGTGTGGATTGATATTGATTTTTTTTTCCACTGATGTTTTAATATCAATATAAAATAAGATCAGGGTTTCACAAGCAAGTTTTAGAACAGAAACACCAATCTCTAAAAAGATTTGTCTTCCTTTTAGAAGCCTAAAAATGAATACATAAAGTTTAGAGTTTCATGGTATATTTCCCAATTTTTTTTGTTGTTGTTCAGATAGTGGGAGGGGGAGAGAGAGAGAGAAACATCAACGTGAAAGGGACACATCCAGTGGTCGCCACCCACAGGACCCAACCAGGGCCAGGGACAAACTGCAACCGAGGTACATGCCCCCAGCAGGAACCGAACCCAGGTCTCTCCAGACTGCAGGCCAATGTTCTAACCGCTGAGCCAAACCGGCCAGAGCCCCATTTTAATTTATCTACAGTTCACAAATATGCAAAAATAACAAATTTCCAAATCAAAAGCCTCTTGTCGAAACATTCAAATTAAAAACCAATCATTTTAGCCCTGGCTGGTTTGGCTCAGCGGTTAGAGCATCAGCCTGTGGTCCAGAGAGACCTGGCTTGGGTTCCCGCTAAGGGCAGGTACCTCAGTTGCAGTTTGTCCCCTGCCCTGATTGGGTCGTGTGGGTGGCAGCCACTCGATGTGTCCCTTTCACGTTGATGTTTCTCTTCTCTCTCCCTCCCATTCTATCTGAGCAAAAAATGGAAAAAAATGTCCTTGGGTGAGGATAAAAAACAATCATTTTAGTCCTGGTAGAGTGGCTCAGTTGGTTGGAGCATAGTCCCATACACCAAAAGATTTTGGGTTCAATTCCCGATCAGGGCACACTCCTAGGTTATGGGTTTGATCTCCCTCTCCCTCTCTAAACATCTCTCAGTTGAGGATTAAAAAAAGAAAATCAAGCATTTTAATTTATTTATTGGCCATAAAACCCAGCAAGAAACTGTCCTTTCCTCCCTCACCTCAGTAAAACCACCACCAATTTCTTTCTAGGGCACTGGTGGCATTGACAATACTTAGCCCTCCCTTGTCAGCATCCAGACATCCCTGGCTCCATCTATGTAAGTTAATGTCACAGTTCCCGTTGCAGGAAGTGCCCCACTTTCACTGTATTACATTTGGCAAAGCACCTGCTAGCACTACACAGGGTAGGAAATGAGTCAGGAAAAACATGATGGCTTGACTGAAAAGCTAACCTGGGTCTGCCAATTGAGTGAGGATATTAAGGAAATGTAAAATTCAAGGAGGAATTATTTTTTCATCATCTCTAAGTTTACCAGTATGTATAGTACTGGGAGAAAGTAGAGGAGGAAGGTGGAAACAGCCACATAAATGAAAACTCCCTAGAACTAAAAGCGATCTAAACAAAATGCAAACTAGTGGGCCAAAGAACTTACTCCCACTGGGGTTTTATTTGTGGCTGCAAGCAATCTCCAAACTGAGAGGTTCATAAATTAGGGAACAGTTTCAATGTCCTGAGGGATCAGCAATTTGCATAAGAATAGTATTAAAATATTTTCTATGAATTGTGTGTGCTTCATTGTTGAATTTGGTGCCAACAGTCAAGAAATAACCAAATAAATAAGCCTCAAATATTTTCTTTTTACTATACCCGTTTCCAAAAATTACAAAGTACCTTTAACACAATTTTCTCTGCTATTTCCCAAGTAAATCAGTAAAACAGGTAGAAAGAAATGCAAAATGTAACTAATATTACACAAGATAATTTTTCTTTTTTAATATATTTTTTTAATCCTCACCCAAGGAGATTTTTCCATTTATCTTCAGATAGAGTGGGAGGGGGAGAGAGCGAGAGAGACATCGATGTTAGACACATCGACTGGTTGCTTCCTGCATGACCCCGAGCCAGGGCCGGGGATGAACTGCAACCGAGGTACATGCCCTTGACTGGAATGGAACCTGCGACTTTTTGGTCTGCAGGCCAACACTCTAATCGCTGAGCCAAACCGGCCAGGGCAAGACAATTTTTCTTCAATAACTTATTCTGTCCAAAATGTACAGGTGCAACAGGATGAACTTCAGTAGTTAAAACTGTGGTCCCTGGAAACTTGAATGATGATTGGGCACCATGAGGAGTGGAGAACAAACTGAGTAGGATAACACTGGGTTGAACTCCTAGAAGAAACTTTACAGCTTCAATTACAGTATTTCCAGTGCTATGTCTCATTATGCTGACCCCACAATTTCCCTTCTCAAATTTCACTCCTTCATACTTGTACCCTGTTGGAGTGGTCACCATGAATTTTTTTTTTCTTGATTGATTTTTTGAGAGAGAGGAAGGGAGGGGGAGAGAGAGAGAAACATCGATGAGAGAGGAAACATCGATTGGCTGCTTCCTGCCTGCCCCCCACTGGGGATTTGGCCCACAACCTGGGCATGTGCCCTGACCGAGAATCGAACTGGTGACTTCTTGGTGCATGGATCCATGCTAACCACTTAGCAACACTGTCCAGGTACTATGCATTCTTTATATGGCAGCTGATTCAATCCCTCTTCCACAAGTCTGATCAAACAATCTGCAGAAAACACCAAGTCCCCTCTGCTGGCTGTTTGTCCAAGATGATGGTCTGCAGCTCCTGGATCTGCTCTTTAAAGGGAAGCAGCTTAAGCTGAACCCTTAAGTTGGCTGTCCCTTAGGGGGTCACTGGCTAATGTGTCAGTTGCCACTGCCACTGTTGCTCTCAGGGTTGAGACTGGCGCAGCTGAGGCCTGAGGGCCCCCCTCTGCCAGTAAGATAGAAAGGACGTGAGTGGTGAGGAGTCAGCTTGGCCTTGGAGGTTCTGTTTCCTCCCACCACCCATGATCTGGGATCAGGTCGTCAGGTCTTGTAGAGGCAGTTTACTTGTTGGTTATGATGGCATGGAGTCCGGATACTGTAACTCTGTGGCCATATACTGGACCCCAGCCTGTCCCCACAGCTATTAACCAGATTGAAGTTTTTTTTTTTAATTTTTTAATTTTTTTGGAACGTGCCCCTAGTGGGAACCGAACCCGGAACTCTCTGGTCTGCAGGCTAACGCTCCAACCGCTGAGCCAAACTGGCCAGGGCCCAGATTGAAGTCTTGATTGGAATATTCTTAGCTGTCATCTCTTGTACAGCCTGTGTGGTGTTCCCCCACCCATCTGGGACTCCACAAACAGGTGGTAGGCCCTTGTGTCCCACATCTGTACTTTGCTCTGCTTTTCTTTTTGTTTTGCTTCACCTTGGATATATATATTTTTTAATCCTCACCCGAGGACATTTTTTTGCATTTATCTTCAGATAGAACAGGAGGGAGAGAGGGAGGAAGAAACATCAACGTGAAAGAGACACATCGAGTGGTTGCCACCCACATGACAATGGGCCGAGGACAAACTGCAACCGAGGGAGGTACGTGCCCTTAGCAGAAACCGAACCCGGGACTCTCCGGTCCGCGGGCCGACGCTCTAACTGCTGAGCCAAACCAGCCAGGGCTACCTTGGATATTTTTCATTGCCGTGTTTTCTAGTTCACTAATCCTGTCTTCTGTTACTCTGAGTCTTCATCACAGATTCTGCATTTTTCACTTCAAGAATATCAAACAGATATTCTAACTGTTGAAATTCTCCATTATTGCATCTATTTTGTTCATTTCCTCCACTGTCCTGAATGTATACATTCTCTGGCAACTCCAATTTCTGAAATAAGTGTGAGTCTGTTTCTGTTTTTTATTTTTTCTCTTGATTTGTAGTTCTCATCATGCTGTAACTTTATTATTATTATTATTTTTTATTTATTTTTTTAATCCTCACCCGAGGACATTTTTTGATATTTTGTTCAGATAGAGCGGGAGGGAGAGAGGCAGAGAGAAACAGCGACGTGAAAGGGACACATCGAGTGGTTGCCACCCGCACAACCCAACCAGGGCCGGGGACAAACTGCATCCGAGGTATGCGCCCTTAGCGGGAACCGAACCCGGGTCTCTCCGGACCACAGGCCGATGCTCCAACCGCTGAGCCAAACCGGCTGGGGCTCATGCTGTAACTTTAAATTGAATGCTAGATATTGTCATGACAGCTAACAGTGACAGGCACAGGCTGCCCAGGTCATGTTACCCAACCCTGCACAAGTACAGCCTGGGGACAAAGCTAAGCACTTCTGGGTGCCTGCCACATGTCACGTGCAGCCCAGGTACGGAGGGCAGAGCCCGTAAGATCCCTACACAGCTCACTGCATCAGGGTCCCTGCTGACACTGGGAAAGTGTCAGGCCCCAAGTGCCAGGAGGCCACCTGGGCTTAGCCCCACAGTGTGGCCTCCCCTGCTGGTAGCCATGGCCATGTTGCTCACTCACCTTAGGGTCCCCCAGCTACTGTACAGCAGGGGCAGGGCGAGGCCCCAGAGGTTTCCTGCAGAGGACAGAGGTCACAGGGAGGGTTCCCAAGGCACCTCAGAGTCCCCCATGTATTGGGGATGCCTCCAGGGAGGGAGTCTGTTGGGAGGCAGTGATTCCAGGTGTAGGCAGGGTCCCAGGCTCCCCTCTTACATGAAAGGAATCAGCCATAGAAGCAGTGCCAGGACTCCGAGCTGCTGGGGTCCTGCCAGCTCCGACAGGAAGAAACACACAGGCCATGGCAGGTGCTTCTTTTCCTTTATTTAAAAAAATTCATTTGGGGTGTGGTGTGAGGAGGGCACACCTTTCATGGCTTCAGGGAGAACAGTTTCCAGAAGGAATCACTGGGGCAGAAATACATGGGGAGAACCTGGGCGTCAAGGGAGGGGCTGCGCCCTCCAGCACCTCTGGGCAGAGCGCTTAGTTGGGGGCTGGGTGGGGTAGGCAGACAGTATATACAGGTGGGCAGGGAGGCAGTGCCCTATGGACCCCATGGGCCAATGGGGACATGACCACCATGGCTGGCCCACAGCCTCGCCCCTTCCAGGCAGACCAGCTGAGGCCTGTGCCCTCAGATGCAGGGCTGGGAGAGGCCTGTTCAGGGAGGCTGGGGTGGGGCCTGGCGGGAAAGCCAGCCTGCAGGACTTTAAGGGGAACAATCCCCTGCTTGGGTTATTTCCCCTGGGGCTCAGGCCTGCATCCTGGGGGCCAAGGTCAGGGTGACTTGAGCTCCCCCCGTGAACATACCAGAATGCAAGGAACAGAAGACTCCAATCAAACGCATTAGAGGCGCCCCATACACCATCTTCTATCAGATAAATGGAAATACAAGATGCAGTGCCATGTGCAGTTACACAAGATGCCAGCCTACACCATCCTACTGTCAGGCAGCCCTGAGCTGCAGGGACGGCAGGCTGGGAGTCCCACCCAGGGACTCCTCTCATCCTCAGTCCTGAGGGACTGCCTCACAGTCCTGCCTACCTGGCCACCTCCTGGCTCCTCTGAACAAGCAGCCATGCTCACCACCACAGAGATGCCCAGAAACGTGACCAGGGGTGGACACAGTGTGGGGAGCCTGCTGGGGCTGGTGTGGGATGTGGGGCGGTCCTCTTGTCTCAGGTGGCTTCAGGCTGCTGTCCTCAGCCGCGTGGGGACCTGGACGCCTAGGTGTAGAAGATCACCTCAGGGATCTGGCCGTCCTCCACGGACGTGCCATTGTTGTTCCCAGCCGCGTAGCAAAAGGTGAAGCATGTCTTGGCCCCCGTCGTTGGCGACTCGTGGGTCACCTTGCGCAGGCCTTTGGTGCCGTAGTGGGAGTCCGGGCCCTGTGGGGTTGGGGCCATAGTGCAATCAGGATACCTCCCCCAGGACTGGGGGACCAACTGGGCAGAGGGCAGCAGAGCCCCCAAAGAGGTGTCTGTGCTGTGGGACCTCAGGGTGGCAGACCCTCCAACCTACACCAGGTGGCCCTCCCGAGCCCCACATCATCGGAGATGAATGGTGGAGTGTGGGTCCGGTTCAAAGTCAAGGTCCTGGGAAGGAGGAGGGATCAGAGTTGGGGTCAAGGTCCTGGACAAGATTCAGATTTCAAAGTTGAGGTCAGTGTGGAAGGTCATGGTGGAATCCAGGGTAGGGTGTAGGGGTCAAAATTAAGGTCAATGTAGAGGGCAGGGTTGCAGTCCCAGATGGAGTTTGAGGGTCAGAATAAGGGTCAGATGTTAAGAGTCAGGGTCCTGGATGGGGTTCAGGGATCAGATTTGGGAGTTGGGGTCGAGGTCCTGGATAGGATGGAATGGAGCAGTGAGATTTCATCATGCTACTCAGAATGGCATACAGTTTAAATTAATAAATTATTTCTGGAATTTTCCATTTACTATTTTTGGACCATGGGTAACTAAAACAACAGATAAGGGGCACTACTGTACTACTAAACTAGAATTCTATGCCCTTCAAAAATTAAAGACAAAAGACAGATGAAGTCAAAAGAAAATGAATAGGGTTTTGGGGTCAGATGTCAGGTGGGGTCCTGGACAGGGATCAACAGGGTTGGGGTCCTGGGTAGAGTTGAGGGGTCAGAGTTAGGTTTCTGTTACTGTTCAGGGATTGGAGTTTACTTCGGGGTTCTGTGGCCCAGGGTCAGGGTCAGGCACACCTTGAGCGTGGCGCAGGCTGTGTAGTTGACATTGGGCAGCACCTCCACCGGCTCCTTGAACATGACTCGGAAAGTGCTGGCAGAGCCATCGCAGCTGAAGCCCGTGTCATTCTGGCCCAGCACTGTGTTGCTGTCAGTGTGGATGATCTGCGAGGGCAGGAGTCAGACACTGCTCACCTGGGGCATCCATCCCCTGGCCTCCACCCACGGGGCCCACAGAAGCAGACCGGGCAGCACAGGGTCCAGCCTGTGACCCAGAGGAGGCCCATGGGGTTTGGGGCATAGTCCCCTCTGATTCTAGAACATTCCCGCTATATGGCTTGGCACAGACCCTAGCAGAGAAGAGATGGGGAATCTGAAAGGGGTCCTGAGAAGGGTAGAGCACAATGGGAGGGGTGGGGCTGGAGGTGGGACAAGGGGCAGAATCTGGGACACTAGAGGGGCCTGGATCTAGAGGCAGGGTCAGGGTGGGTGGATACCTGGATGTTCACTTGGTAGTCCGTGGGCCCATGGATGGAACCGTACAGTCCAAAGCCAACCACAAAGATGCGTTTGTTGACCGAGAACCTGATGGACAGAGGAACAGGTGCTAAAGTCGGCAACCTGCAACCAGGCAAGGGTACACAGGCACCCCAAGCCCTACAGGGGCTCCCATGGTAGGGCTGACTCCTCAGCAGGAAGCCCCTTCCCAGGGCCCCCAGCAGATGAGCTCACTCTCTGCGCCTCACTTCTGGGAACCCAGCTCCCTCATCCCCAGCACCCTGACTCAGCACCCCATCCCCAGTGCCCAACCCATCCCTGAACCCACCTGATGCGGTCGCTTGTGCCACTGTAGCCCCAGCGGCTTTCTACCTGCTGGAAGCGGTTGATGCTACACTCCTTCCCACGGAGGCAGCAGCGTGGCCGGTCAATGAAGTCCACGCGGGGCTTGGGGTTGACGGTGAAGTGCAGGAAGAGGCTGACCACCTCGCGGTCCATGAGGATGCCTGACTGAGCAGGCCCTGCGGGCACAGGGGGCAGTGGGTTGGGCTAGGGTGGGGTCTGGCTTGAGGCTGAGGAAGGGCAGGGTAGGGAAGGCTGGGGTGAACCTCCAGGGCACAGAAGACACCAGAATGCATGGGCATCTCAGGTCCACAGCATCACTCAAAAGTGATCTTGGATTTTCTGCAAAATTTTAGGGGTCTAGGCAGTCCTGAGATAGGACAGTTCTGCCCTGGCACTTAGGGAGGGAGCTGACGCAGACATAGGGTTGATGCTTTGATTAGCTCATTAGACAAAATGCCCCCTCATGGCCGCAGGTCTCACTGCCTGCACCAGGGACCATCCCTCAGGTCCACCCCCAGCTGACAGAGCAGATGGCACCCTGCCTGTCCACACTCAGACCCATCAATGGTTAAGGGGTGATACCCAGCTATAAGCAGCCTGGGGGATGCTGGCCAGGCAGTGCTAACACAGGGAGATGACGGGACCTGCCTAAGACAGGTTGGGAGCCAGGGAAGGGAGAACCCAGTGACAGTGGAGGCCACACACAAATAAGGACAGGAAGGGCTGGGGCAGAAACCAGGGCCTGGGAGCCTTACACATGCCCTGCCCATCACTATTCCACCTCTAGGACAGAAAAGGCAGGACACAACCTGGAGCTTTACAAAAATGACTTATTTACTAACTCGGAACCAATTTCTGCAGAAGGTTGGCCACAGCATCGCTCACAGCTCCCACAGCCCAACATATCAACAGAGACCTTCACAACAGGAGACAAGGCACATCTATGGATTCAGTGAATAAGGAAGATACAAAATTGAATGCAGAATGTTGACCATTTTTTTTTTAATCTCTGCATAGAAATTGCAGAAAGAAAAATACATCCAACTTTAACCATGATGCATGGAGCTAGCGGGATTCAAACTTCTTTCTTGTATTTTCCAGTAGAACATAGCTGAGGAATTCTCTAAAATACAGAGTGACAAAGCCGAAGCCCTGTGGGGCCCCCTGCAGAAGGCCCACCTCAAAGGCAGAGGACACACAGTCCTTCCCAGCGCTTTCAAGCTGCGGGGGCAGTACTCTTCCAGAAGGTGGGCTGTGTCACAGGGGCCTGAGACCTGGGTGGGGTGGGGGGTCTGGCAGCCAGGTAGGCTTGGATCTTGAGGAGAGTGGCTTTAGGGGCGAAAACCAATCTGAAGAGGGATGGCCTAGGAAGGCTCCTACAGGTGTCAGCACAGGACAGTCCAATGCTGTACTGTACCCAGGGGTCTCCCTCAGAGAACACAAGGCAAGATATGAAGACATCTGTGGTTGTTATGACGGGGATACTCCTGGCTTCACGTAGGTGGGGGCCAGGAATGCTGCTCGACACATCATAGTGCCCAGGAGAGCCTCACAGAGAATCACCCTGCCATAGTGTCTCCAGAATGCAAAGACATTCTCTGGGGCATCACCCCAGCACTGGTGTAACACTGTGGACCGCCAGATAAAACACGGGGCACCCAGTAAATCTGACTTTCAGATCAAAGAAGATGCATCTGTAGGATAAGTATGTCCCAGCCAGTGCATGGAAGATATTTACACTCAATTACTTGTTTGCTATTGTTATTAAATCTAGCAACCCTGAACCTGGGCAGGACGAAAGGCTGCATGGACCTGGTAGACTGGATAGCCGATATATGCACTGGCCACAGGGCTGTGTCATGGAACCCCATCCAGAACCTTCCAGGCCTGTTTGGCTCCAGGGCTGAGGTTGGCACCAGCCATGAGAGTGACATGACAGGGAGGCCCAGTCCCGGGGGACAGGGTTCCAAGTCAGCTGCTCAAATGGCCCCAAGATGTGGGTGTCTACACGGAGTAGGAGGCACAGCCAGGACCACAGACCCCAGGACCTGCAACACTGTCACCATGACCCTGGCCATTTTCCACCTTTCATAGGCTTGTCAAGGACACTGAAGCCAGAGCCCAGTCCCCAGGACATGAGGCCAGGGTGGGGACACTCAATGACTGGTACACTCATACACATGCGTGTGGACACAGAAGAAAAGGAACATGGAGCTGTGGAATGGCTGGACGGCATCTGTGAGTCATTCTGTGTTTATACATTGGTGCACAATCCAAGCTGCCCGTCAGCATGAAGTGTCATCGGTACAGAGGGGCGAGCACACACTTGTGTTCCTGGCAGGGCTCTTGGGCCAACATATGGCTGGTGCTAGTCCCGGTGGGACATGCAACTGAGTCACACACAAGGTCCTTGGGGGTCACGCTCCTCTGGAGTGGCCCCTGGTCCCCCTGAGCGTTACCTGCAGCAAACTCCTCGATGGTCATCAGTGGGAAGCGGATGAGGGCCAGTGCCTTGCCCAGGACTTTCCGCTTGTTCTCAGGTGTCACCTGCAACTGCTGCCGCTGACACTCAGCCTCAGACCAGCGGACAACGGCGCTGAACAGGCGCACCTCGCGGATGCCCAGCGTGTCCCGCTCCAGAACAGCCACCAGTGTATCTGCAGGGGTATGGGGGGTCATGTCAACGTGGACGCCACGGTCTCAGCCAGGGGTTGGTGGCACATCATGTACAGTCCATGCCTATACTAGTGAATGAGAGTTCACCAGCTTGTGGCCACACCCATCCACCACCCTGTCACTGACAGCAGCAGAGTGGGGTGGACCAGGCAGAAGCCTTCTGGCCAGCAAGGCTGAAAACAAGGACCACTTGGGCCTCTGTGGGAGGAGTGTGCCCAGGGGACGAGGTGACCTCCCCCAGATGCCCTGTAGACCTTACCCAGGTCAATATCTGTGAAGCCCTCCGCGGTGATGGCATCAGCCGTATTTTTGTCAATATTCTCCAGGCACAGGCTGGCAAGCTGTGGTTCGTCAAAGAGCCGGGCCTACAAGGGACAATAGGGCATCGACATCCAGCCCCGAAACAGGACCCAAGACAGATTCCCTGGTTCAAAATTTGTCATGAATTTGAAGTCTTGGGGCCTTGGTGATTACACAGGTCAGCCCAGGGGCCTGGAGATTTTCTCCACTCATAGACTTGAAGTAACCACTGCCTGAGGTGGAGGGTCCAGTGAATCAAGGACCCTGCTTCAGGCTGGCAACTCTAAAGCTGGGCCCTTAGTGGTTCAGGGCTGGAGGTAGGGGCAGCAGACAGGCAGGCTGCTTGGGTCAGGCAGGAGCCCCTGGGGAGAGGGCCATGAAGGACTGCGGGACACAAAAGCGCTGTGCCCCTGTCCATCTGAGGTTGCTCCCTGAGGAACAGGCACATAGGGCAGGGGGCCAGGGAGGGAAGAAGATTCTGACACCTTCTGCCCAGGAAGCTAACCCCTCTCTAACCTGTTCACCCGGAGCCTGGCGAAGACACTACACATGGCCACCTATCTCAGCAGACATCTGGGAGTGGCCCCCACATAACAGTTCTGGCTCTGGCAGTTCAGAGTGACTCAGCAAATAGCTGGTCAGGGCCCAGGGCCCAGGTGCCACCTCAGCAAGGGGTTTGCAAATCTAACTTGTCTGTGACCTGCCAGGAAGAGGGCGCCCCACACCCTCCCGTGTCCAGGACTCTTGGTTCCCTACAGCAGCACTAGCCCCACTAGCCCCACCACAGCTGGCTGACCACACAAAGCCCAAAAGGGACCTTCTCAAAGAAACATGAACGTGCCCAGCCGGTGTGGCTCAGAGGATTGAGCCTTGTCCCATAGACTGAGAGGTCCCAGTTTGATTCCCGGTCAGGGCACATGCCTGGGTTGCAGGCTCCATCCCCAGTAGGGGGCGTGCAGGAGGCAGCCAATTGATGTTTCTCTCTCACATCGATGTTTCTCTCTCTCTCTAAAAAAGCCTACAAAAACATTAAAAAAAGGAAAAGAAAGATGAATGCCTTTCTCCCTACACCTGAGCCATGAAAAAAGGGAAAAACCAGCAGGTAACCTGCAGCCAAATAAACGAGGGAGCCCTGCCTGACAACAAGCTGCCAAGGCCACCTAGAAACCCACGTAGAAAACTCAGGGCCGTCAGGGCAGAAGGCTGGAGGGCATTCTCCCAGGGCACCAAAAACTCAGAAATCCCACCCACCCACCCACATGTGCCCCAGCCAGGCTCCCGCACCTGCGTCAGCAGCATGAAGGCATTGTCTGCCCGCAGGTTCTTCTTCAAGAACTCCACACAGTGGGCCTCCAGCGCAGGCACCGCATACTTCTTGGCAGTGTACAGGGTGGTCATGACTGTCTCGGGCCCAATCTGAACCTCATCCGAGTAGAGAAACCTGGGGTGGGATGCAGGTAGCCATAAGGCAGGACCCTAGGATCACTGGTGCCATCAGACTCCCAGCAAGACCCTACACCAGCCTCCACCCCACTGGCCCAGCCCTAAGGGACCTTCCAGAACCAGTGTCTGTTGCCCTCTGACCTGCAGACATGACCTAGTAAAGGCCATTACCAGTGAAAACCAGTGAGAAGCTAAACTACCCACACTCCAACGCGGGAACACACCTATACCACAGGCCTGCTCCTTTCCCACGAGGGTGGCTCCAGGGCTGAAGGCCACCACACGTTTGCCAGGGACACAGGGACATTTCCACACCACCCAAACTGCATGACAGGTCTGATGGCAAAGCTCAATGAGGTCTGGGCAAATCACAGACTCGTGGATACTATGACCACCCGTCATTGGCCTGATTCTAAATGTGGGTCGGAGGTTGGGGTCAACAGAAAAAAAATGGTGAGGCCATCGAGACATCAGAGTCCTGAGCATGGCAGGAAGGAGTGCAGAATGGAGCCCAAACACAGCCTTGCAGCTAGGGTCCATGGGGTAGAGACCCTGCCCCCCAGAGGCCAGGGAGGCTGTTCAATACCCCATGGCACCCAGGATGGCCTCCCACAGAATGGCCCCGCCCCAATGTCAGCAGTACAGAGGGGACAGGCCCAGATATGTGCAGAAGGACACACCAACAGTGATACTGTCAATCCTCTCAGGAGGGCAACTGAGCAGTATTTATCAAAACTAAGAGAAAGACAGAGACAGATGGAAAGACAGACAGTTAACACGAAGGCAGGGTTTGGCAAATTGCAACCTGTCACTTGTTTTTGTTTTTGATTTTTTTAATGGCTATCTCTTTTATTTTTAAAATGTATGGTAAAATCTATATAACATAAACTTTGCCATATTAATTTTTATATTTATTATTATTGATTTCACAGACAGGGAAGGGAGAGGGGGAGACAGAAATCAAGAGAAACATCGATCAACTCCTCGTGCACGCCCCCTACTGGCGATCGAGCATGCAACCCAGCATGTGCCCTGACCAGGAATAGAACCAGCGACCTCCTGATGCATGGAACAATGCTCAACCAACTGAGCCACAATGGCCAGGCACCATCTTAACCATTTTTCAGTGCACAGCTCAGGGGCATTAAGTATATTCACACTGTTGTACCACCACCCCACCATCCATCTGCAGAACTTTCTCATTTTCCCAAACTAACACTCTGTCCCCATTAAACACTAATTCTCCTCCCTCAACCCCTGGCTCCCACCAACCACTTTCTGTCTCTGTGGATTTGTCTCCTCTAGGGATCTCAGGGGGTTGGAATCACATAGAAATTGTCCTTCATTGTCTGGTTTATTTCACTGAGCATAATGTCTTCAAGGTTCATCCACATTGTAGCAGGTGTCAGAAGTCAGAATGTTTTTCCTTTTTAAGGCTTAATAATATTCCAGTGTGTGGATGGACCACATCTTGTTCATCATTTATCTGCCCAAGGACACTTGGGTTGTTTGTACTTTTTGGCTGCTGTGAACCATGCTGCTGTGAACATAGGTGTGCCTTGGGTAAGTAGCCAGAAGTGGAATTGTGGGTTATATAGTGACTCTATGTTTGATTATTTGAGGAACCTCCAGAATGTTTTCCACAGAGGCTGCCCCAATTCACATTCCCACCCCCACCCTGCTACCAGCCATACACAAAGGTCCCCAATTTTTCCACATCCTTGCCAATTCTAGTCATTTTCCTTTTTTTAAAAAAAATAATAGCCATCCGAGTGAATGTGAAGTGATATCTACTTGTGGTTTTGTCACCTGTTTTTGTAAATAAAATTGTATTGGCACACAGCCCGGCCTATAGCTTATAAACTGTCCTGGCTGCTTCTGTAATCACAGAAGCCCAGGTGACTGAGGTGACTAGTGGAGACAGAGCCCATCAGCCACCCAGCCGAGAATCATTCACCATCTGGCCCTGGGCTGGAGGAGCTACTTGAGAAGGTGCATAGAGATGGATAAATGAGCTTTTCTCAGAGTGCTACTGTGACCAGGAAGATGCTGGGGGATAGTCCACAGGACCCATTAATATTAGATGGAGTCAAGGGTTATGGGACATCCACAGATAGAACCAACTAGAACAAAATTACCCCCAACAAAAAACTGTAGACACCAGTGAGAAAAGGGAATGAGGACACAATAGGGTAGAAGAGGTGCTGTGAGCACATCACACACACACACACACACACACACACACACACACACACGCCATGAGCAGGGAAGGACCAGTCAAGATGTCATCCTGACTGTCAGAGACAGGGGGCAGGGTTAGCTCCCCTTCGTTCATTATGCTTCTTGGCATTAATTTTTTTTCATTCAAACCTGTGCCGTTTTTATAATCAGAAAGGAATCAATAAATTCTACATTTAAAGAAATATTTTAACTGTTTGGGATCATCTTTAAAGTTACCCACGACTCGAAAAAAATAAAATAAAATAAAGTTACCCACGACAATTCACACCCAGCATTCCTGGAGCCAGGTGGGCAAGGAGAACGGTGCGGATGTTCTCAAGCTCCCCCAGCCAGACAGCCAGGGCCTCCACACTGCAGCCGGCGCTGCCCCAAGCTCCTTCTCTCCTCCCCTCTTGTCCCAGTCGGCTCCATTTCCTGTGACTATCTGACAAGGATCCCCAACCCCGAGCAGTCACTGTACTTAAGAAAAAATTCTTAAATTTTAAAGGGAAAAATACAGGTGGCATTTAAAATCCTTACCTTATGCTACTTTTTTTTTTAATCCTTACCTGAGGATATTTTTTTCAAATATCTCCAGATAGACTTGGGTGGGGGAGAAACATCAATGTGATAGAGCCACATCGACTGGCTGCCTCCCGCACGACCCCGACCAGGGCTGAGGACGAATTGCAACTGAGGGACATGCCCTTGGCTGGAATCGAACCCGAGACTCTTTGGTCCACGGGCCAACATTCTACTGCTGACACAAACCAGCCAGGGCACCTTACGCTACTTTTTAACTCTGTCAACTACAAAAAATAAAAATGAGGGTCTCATATATACACTACATAAAATGTGGATGGACCTTGAAAACATGATGCTCAGTGAGAGAAGCCAGACACAAAAGGCCACAGTGTGTGGGATTCCTTTATGTGAAATGTCCAGAAGAAGCGAATCCAGAGAAAGGGGTTTGTGGTTGCCAGGTGCTGGGGGGGGGGGGGGTAGGGAGTAACTGCTAATGGGGATAGGGCTGCTTTCTGGGGTGACAAAATATTCTGAAACTAGATACAGGTGGTGTTTGAACACTTCTGTAAATTACTAACAACCCTCCCCCCACTGAATTGCACTCTTTATATTAGTGAACTATATGGTGGTATATGAATTAAATATCAATTTAAAAAATATAAAAATTAAAACAGGGTGGAGGTCTCCAAAGCCACCCCTCACTATGGAGGCAAGTTCTAGAAAATTCCATGGAGCCAGGGCTTTAGAGGTCGTGTCACCAAGATCTTTATTTTCTCCCTGAGCCCTGTTTTCTGATGTTTTAAACATCATGCCGTCCACTCTGTCCCCTCAGTCGACAGGCCCTGGAAAGTCTTACTTGAGCAGTGCCAGGAAGGCAGCTGGCTCCACATCAGGCAGTTCAATCTCGGTAGACGTAGTAGCCATGCCCCCATTGAACATGGCATCAAACACGGCGCTGCCCACAGCCAGCACGAACCTGGAGTGAAGAGAAGACCTGGTTACCCTCTGTGTGGTCCGGCCTAGCCCTGTCACCCAAGCCTGGGCCTTTGGAAAGGAGGGGTGGGATGTGTAAGGCATGTCCCCGCTGAGACTTCCCCACTGAGGCTCTGCAGCAGCTACTCCTCTGCCCCTCCCCCAACAGACACGTGCCTAGATCATCCTGGTGGCAGATGCTCCCAGAAGAAAGGCATTACAGAGCAAGAGGGCCTTTCGATGGGCCAATAAATAGCAACATGAGGCCAGAAGTGAAATCATGTCCCCCATGGCATATGGCTTAATACCCTCTGCCAGCTCCCCCCGTTCATCCATCCATTCACTTGGTCACCCACTCAGTCGTGCACACACTCAGTTATTCATTCACTCTCTCACTCGCTCGCTTGCTCTGCACACACCTCTCCTGTGCTTGGGCTTCGGGCACTGGGGCCCCGCCTTCTTGGAGGAAGGCAGACACAGGTCAAGGGCGCAGACAGCCTGACAGTGGAGTAGAAAGGACAAGGATGCAGGGCGGTGAGGGGAGTGAGGGTCAGGAAAGGTCTGGCAGGGACATCTGAGCTGGGCTGAGTGTGTGGGGCAGGGAGTCAAGGTCAAGGGAACGGCAGGGGCACTAGGAGGCAGTGGCTGTGGGAGACCTGCCAGGAGTGACTCACCCATTACAGCCTACCTATCTGTGTCTTCATCAGCTCGAGAGGCAAGAAAGCCCAGGGAGTGAGGACCAGTTGTGAGGAGCCCCCATCCTTACTTCCAGCCAGCTGTGAACTCTCCTACTGACTTAGTTCACAGGAGCTAGAGGTTAGGGGTTGTGGGAAGACTCCACGGTGACCACACTGAGGACAGTGCCGTCCACTCTATGCTGTCCATCCTTGGTCCCTAGGGCCCACCCCATGACAGCCTCTCCCCAGGGAAGAAGAGACAGGTCGGAAACCATAGCCCAGTGGCCTGCTCACTAAGCAGCTGTCTCCAGGTCTGCAAGGCTCCTATATCACACCTCTTCCCGGGGTCACCACTTTAACAAATGCTGGACTCTGAGCAGCCACCCCACTCAGAAACCTCCAAAGTCAGCAGACATCACAAAGCCAGCCCCACATCCCACCTCCCAGCCTCTGTTCAGTGCCTGGGACCTCCATCCCATAACTAAACCCTGTCTTCAACTAAATGGGTGGGGATACACCCTGCCTTAGACTAAACTGGTAGGTTACTGGACCACAAGCTGTTCTCTCCCTCGTTGTCTCTGTCTCAAGCTCACATCACCAGAAATGGGACAATCAGACTTCATAGGCCTCCTGATATGAAGCACTAAGGACACACATCACTGCTTAACATCCAAGGACACAAAGGGGATGAAAATAGAAAGATGGCAAAGACATGCCCTGCAAACTGATACCATGAGAGCTGGAGGGGCTGCCTTAACATCAGACAAAACAGATCTGAAGAGGAACACTTCATGTGAACAGAGGGACAGCCCACCAGGAACAGGTAACGATTATAAATGTACACACCTAGCAACAGAGTCCCAAAATACACGAAGCAGAAACAGTGCTCAAAGGAGAAAGAAACAATTCAACAATTATGGTTGGAGGTTTGCACACCCCACTCTCAATAACTGACAACAGCCAGAAAATCAGCAAGGATACAGAACTGAACTATAGCATCCACTGACTTGATCAAAGTGACCTTTATGGAACCCTCGAACCAGTAACAGAAGAACCATGTTCTTTTAGGCGCACATAAGACACTGTGCAAGGCAGACTACACGCAAGAGCACCCAAATATGCTTAAAAGTACTGCAACCAGGCAGAGCATGTTCTCCAGACACAGCGGGATTAAATAATAAATCAACAACAAAGAGAAACCTGAGATATCCCTAAAAGCTTGAAAATGGAATGACACTCTTCCAAGTTACCCAGTGGTCAGAGAAGAACACAAGGGACTTTGGGAATGAAGACATGACACCTCCAAACGCGAGGGATGCAGCTAACACAGTGCTCAGGGGTAAATATCACATATTTACTCAAGACCTCAACAAGGTAACCTTCCACCTCGAGAGTCTAGAAATGAAGAGCAAACCAAGCCCAAAGAAAGAAGAAACAATAAAAGTGGGAACAGGAATTAAGGAAATTAGGAATGAGAAAACGAAGAAAACCAAAACTGGTGTTCTTTGAAAATAAATCAATTGCTAAAACTTTAGCTAGGCTGACCAAGCAAGAAAAATGCGACACAAGTTACCAAAATCATCAACAAAAGAGACCATCACTGCAGATCCAAAAGAAGATAAAAGAATTTTAAAACAACTTCATGTCCCAGCCAGTGTAGCTTAGTGGTTGAGCACTGACCTATGCACCAAAGGGTTGCCAGTTCGATTCCTGGTCAGGGCACATGCCCAGGTTGTAGACCAAATCTCTGGTGGGGGGCATGCAGGAGGTGGCCAATTGATATTCTCTCTCATCGATGTTTCTCTCTCTCCCTTCCTCTCTCTAAAATCAGTAAAGGGGAAAAAAATAAAACAAAAAACACAACTTCATGGCAACAAATCAAGACAATCATTTCCTGGAAAGACATGAACTGCCAAACTGACTCATGAAGAAAGAAAATGTTCCATCAAAGAGAAGCCCAGCCCAGTAAGGATTTTGGAAATACTACCACGATGCTCTGGAACTAGGAGCATCAAGGGAACATTTCCAAGTCATCCACAAGGCCCAAGGCACCATGAAGCCCTCAACACTGCAGGGACTGGGACATACTGTGGTTACTTAGGAAGGTGGTTTCTTATAATGTCAAAGGTAAGAGTTTGTCCATGATGCATCCTTTCCACCCCTGGGCATTTGCCCAAGAGAAAAGAAACCGTATCTCCACACAGATCTCTGCACATGTGTTGATGGCAGCATTGTTCCTAACAGTGAAACACTGGAAACAGCTCACACACCAATCACTGGTGAATGAACAAACCACAGTCCAGCCACACAGTGGCATTCAGCAGTAAAAAATAATTCTAGCCCTGGCATCAGTTAGACCATCGGCCCTCAGAATGAAGAATCATGGGTTCAATTCCGGTCAAGGGCACGTACCTGGGTTGCAAGTTCAATCCCTGGCCCCAGTCAGGGTCATGGTGGAGACAACTACTCGATGTGTCTCTCTCACATCGATGTTTCTCACTCTCTCTTCCCCTGCTCTCTCCCTCCGACTCTATCTGAAGATAAATGCAAAAATGCCGCCCTGGCTGGTTTGGCTCAGCTGTCAGAGTGTCGGCCTGCGGTCCAGAGAGATCTGGGTTCGGTTCCCGCTAAGGGCACGTACTTCGGTTGCAGTTTGTCCCCGGCCCTGGTTGGTCGTGCAGGTGGTACCCACTCGATGTGTCCCTTTCACATCGATGTTTCTCTCTCTCTCTCTCTCCCTCCCACTCTATCTGAACAAAATATGAAAAAGTGTCCTCGGGTGAGAATTCAAAAAAAAAAAATGTTCTCAGATGAGGATAAAAAAAAAAAAGTAATTCTACTTTAGTAAGAAAAAGAAATGAATTACTGAGACACACAACAGCATGGATGAATCTCAAAAACATTACGCTAGCAGAGCCGGTGTGGCTCAGTGTTGAGCGTCGACCCATGCACCAAGAGGTCGCTAGTTCTATTCCCAGTCAGGGCACATGCCCAGGTTGTGGGTCCAATCCTCAGTGGGGGGCATGCAGGAGGCAGCCAACCGATGTTCTCTCTCATCAATGTTTCAATCTCTCTCTCCCTCCCTCTTCCCCTCTCTCTAAAATCAATAAAGAAAAAAAATTACACTAAAATAGCAAAAATAGAGAAACAGAAAGCAGCTAGATCAGCAGTTGCCTGGGTTTGAAAAGGGAGTGGGGAACTTTTGAGGTGACAGGTGCTCTAAAACCGGGCTGTGACAGTTGGCAACCATATAAACTTTCTACACAGTCGTCAGATCAAATAAGCCCAAATCCAGCAAAGCACTTGATTAATACCCCACACCCACAATTCCTGAAAACTGAATAAACAAGGAATAGAAAGAAAGTTCTGTACTTTTTAAAAAAAATTTTTCTTTATTGATTTTAGAGAGGAAGGGAGAGGGAGAGATAGAAACATCGATGAGAAAGAACATCAATTGGCTGCCTCCTACATGCCCCCACTGGAAATTTGGCCCACAACCTGGGCATGTGCCCTGACTGGGAATTGAACCGGTGACTTCTTGGTGCATGGGTCAACGCTCAACCACTGAGCCACACCGGCCGGACGGTTCCGTACCTTATTAATGAGAATTTGTGGGAAACCAATCTCAAGGCTCACATGCAACTGTGAAAAGCACCAAGGCTGCTTCCTGTCACCCCTCTGACAGAGCAATGCCCGGAAGTCAAAAATGCAGGAAGAACCGAAAAATACAAGAGGCAAAAATATGAGAGGGAAAGAAACGATTTGCCCATAAAAATGATGCTCTAATTTAAAATTTTAAACCTGTACTGCCAATATGGTTGCTACGGGCCACACAGGGCTATGTAAGTCTAAATTAAAATTAAATAAACTATTCAATTCCTCAATCACAATAGCCACATTTCAAGTGCTCAGAAGCCACCTGTGACTGTCCTGGAGAGCATAGATCTAGAATATTCCCATTGGTACAAGTCGACCGCACAAGGCTAGGCCTGAGTCCACTGAACAATTAAGAACACTAAGAGGGTTCAAAAAGAAATTGTTCAAATTACATAAAAATAAATATGCCCCAGTCCTGGCTGGTTTGGCTCAGCAATTAGAGCGTCAGCCCATGGATCAAAGGGTCACGGGTTTGATTCCCGGTCGAGGACCCATATGAGGTTCAATTCCAGACGAGGGCATGTACCTCAGTTGCAGTTCAGTCCCCAGCCCTGGTGGGCATCGTGTGGGAGGCAGCCAGTCGGTGTGTCTCTCTCACATCAATGTTTCTCTCTCTCCCTCCCTCCCACTCTATCTGAAGATAAATGGAAAAATATCCAGTGAGGATTAA